CATCTGCCAGATAGCTTTCACTCAACTACAACTGTACTGAGCAGATTAGCCCCAAAGCAACCACCTGCAAGACAGTCCATGCTGCTGTCACTGATAGCTATCTCACTATACACTGCCAGCTATGCTGAGTTTTGCCTTTTGAAGATAGGGAAGTGCACAGATTCAGCATGAAAGTAGAACTCATCTATTTCCCCCATCATAGTCTGAACCTCACTGACTCCTGCTAATGCAAAAGCAACATTGTGCCTCTTGGCTGTGTTGTTGCAGAAAGCACATCACATTCTCAAGTTAAGAAGGTGAATTTTGCAGACTCTGCTATCTTCTCATTGCAGACACATTAGGAGCTAGCCTATTACCATTAACTGATTTGCAAAGGGAAATTGTTATTGCTACTGCACAAAGTAGCAGCCTTCTGGGAGCTTTATATACGATATTAGCTGGTGCATGCATAACCAGATACTTACTGTTTGAGCTGAGAAAGGAAAATTCTCTGTATTTGGTTCAAGTTTGGTGACATTTCTGAGTATTATCTATTCTCTTATTCCTGTATTGGAATAAATAGGTGGTATAAATCTACTAAGAGGGTGGGCAAGATAAACCCATCCCCTCTGTCAACATTTGCACTATAATGTTTATCATCCCTAGCCATTGTGGTCAGTGGCCTGATGGCTGGGGAGGACTGGAGTTGTAGGCACCAGCATGAAGAACTAAGTGTGTACTATGGTGTCATCTCAAATTTCTTGAAAATGTTTTTTTTTAAAGCTACCCTTCTGTGTGTGATCTTTTATGACCCTGATTGTTTAAGAGCTAAGTTTTAATCAAGATTTGACTTGGAAAGGCACTTGTGAGCATGTCTCAAGAAGCTTCAAAGAGATGTGATTTGATTATCCAGAGCTCTTTATTTCTTTGCCTAAAGCTAAAAAGAAAAATGGAGAAAGGAGGGGCAAAAAAGATGAAGTGACACTCTTGGAAGCTTCCAGGAACAGCTATTTGCTTTTTTAAAATGCCAGTTTTTCAAAACATGGACTTTCACCCATCTCACTTCCCCTTTCTTGTGGGCTTGGGCTGTCTATGTGGATCCTAGGAGGATTGTAGAGGGAGAAAATTTACCACTGGATCCACCAAAGTTGCTTGCCCCTGCCGTTATATAAAAAAAAAACCTCTGCACATGTGGATTCCTATGCAACCCAGATGGCATTGACTAGGCACAAGAGGGAGTGATTTACAGGAATAAGAAAATAGCCAAGGAGTTTGGGAGCAGAATTTTCAGAGATTCTAGGCTGAGGACTCTCAGCAGCCTGGAGTGAAAGAGGGAGCCAAAAAATCAGGCAGGAAGACAAACAGAATATCATATCAAAGAAGATGCTGTGACTGGCTCCTGGAACCCTGAGCAGGAGCATTTCACACTGTAGCACTTTGTTGTAGACTCCACTTGTAGCCCTTCTAACTGGGAAGTGCTTCTAGGTGGACAGCTCCTAGTTCTTCTAAGTTAACAGTCTTGTGCAGCTGCTTCATGTTCCCTTATGATATTTTTAGTGTTTAAAAAAAAAAGATGTAAGACACAGGGGAAAAACACAACAGGGCTGGAAAGGGAAAATATATCATAATCTGGCCATCCTTTGAAATCTCATGTTTGCAGCAGGGCAACTGTGCAATAAACACTGTGCCTGGAAGCACCCTGGGATATCTGGCTTGCACAGGAGTAAAAGGCTGGGTACCCTTCGGGGAGGGGAAATAGGTGACGGGGAGCTAATGGGAAGTAGAATGATGGGATAGCAACATACATGCCTGTCATAATATAGATCTAAATTTAGTGAAAAGTACAGTACCGAGGAAAGCTCTGTTCTAAGTGATTGGAAGAGGAAATGTGTGTCGCTAATAGTTCATCATCCTCTGTCAAAGTACCCATAAAGCTGGAAGTGGAAAAAGCACATTATGTTTCATGCATATTTGAGAGCTGGCTTTGTCTGTCGAGGGTGCCAACAGCCCTGCAAATAATGTTCTTTATTGTTGGTACTGGTGGCACTACCTCCCTTTAATGTCTTAATGGAACAAGGTGTTGAATTAACCTAGATTAATGTCAGGCAGCAAAAGACGATTCGCTGAAAAGTCAGTAAAGCAGCATGCAGGCTGAAGAAGAGGGTATAGCAGGTTAAGGGATGTCTATATATGGCCATTGGAGTGGGCTGGAGTGAGCTAAACAGGTCTACTAGGAGGTGCGATCCTCACATTCAAATGGCATATGGACCTCAAGCAACCCTATTTGGTCCACAGCAGTCTGCTGGCAAACAAAGTGGCTTAAGCGAGCCACTTCATAATATTGGCACATTCAATATTTCCTCAGCTCTGTAGCGGGACCAGGGAAGTGGGAAAAATATTAAATTTTTGTTAGAATGATAAATATGGGCTAACTCACTTTAAAAACAGCACTGAGTATGTTATTACAAGGTAGGTATGTGTATTAGGTACACATGCCTAACACTGTTTTTAAGATGATGCCTCCTGCTGCAGTGGTTAAAGTGCAGTACTGCAGCCAAAACTCTGCTCAGGACCTGGGTTCAATTCCAAGTAGCTGGCTCAAGGTTCACTCAGCCTTCCATTATTCCAAGGTCCATAAATTTAGTACCCAGCTTGCTGGAGAGGCAATGTGAAGTCTGCATAACTAAATTGTAAATCACCCAGAGAGTGCTTTCTAATGAACAGGTTTTTTAAAAAGACTTTCATGGCCCCTCTCCAGAACTGAGGAAGTGTTTAATGTGCCAGTATCCTGAAGTGGCTCTTTCTTAAGTCGCTTCACAATATTGGCAAATTAAAAGAGGAAGGCTTGCTTTAGTTCATTTCCAGTGAATCACACACACTGGAAATGGATTAAAACAGAGTAATCCTATCCACACCAAAAAAGTAGAAATGCTGGATCTCATACTTCCTAGTGCTGTTCCTTTGAAGAAGGGCTGGCATCTGGGAAGATTAATATTTTAGTTTCCCCTTGCATTATATTTCCTTCTTTCCATGCACCACAGAGAATCACATCACATGCATCTTCCGGCTTTGATCGGATTCCACAGTGATAAAAGCAGAGCTTTCTTAAATACAAAATACAAAAAAAAAAGAAAAAAGAAAGAAAGAAAAGAAAAGAAAGAAAGAAAAAGAAAAAGAACTGGTTATCCTTGCACTAGCTTATCTTATCACCACATACTGGAAACCAGCTTTGCTGGTTTTATGACTCATGATGCTTATCTTATCACCACATACTGGAAACCAACTTTGCTGGTTTTATGAATCATGATTGGGAGATAAACACAGGCTTCATTTGCAAGTCTGATTGCTCAGGCATGCAGCTATAAGAGACCTGTGTAAGAAGCCACTGTATATGTGAGTCTAAGTTACAAATCAGGTTGTCCCTGGTTCAGAGCTAGCCTGTGACTAGGTGACCTTACACGTCCATTCTCTACTAGCCTCAGTCCTTCACTGCTAATGGAGATAATAGCATGGACTTTACTCACAGTCACATCATGATAAGCGATGTGGAGAATTTTGTACACTAAAATGCAGCATAAATGCTAAATTACAGTCAGTATAGTAATTATTAATGTCATTCTATATAAAATAATTCTGAATTCAAAAGTTCAGCAGAAGAAGTAGAACTAGATGGAAACGTATTTACAGAATAGCTTGAATGCAGCTGAAAATGTCATGCGTAACACTGGTGCTTTCAGCTATAGGAGTCCAGGGAACTTTTGTCAATGTGAATGGATAAACTTTAAAACTCTTTGTATACTGTATATGTTATACAAATTGATATTAATATTCTGTTATGTGCAGAGCAATGAAAATGTTTTAGAGTATAGGGCATAGATCTAGCTGCCCATTTTTTCTCAAGGTTTGCTCCAGTGTTAAATTATTCAGCATTTTAATTATTAATTGGTTAATGTTTGTTACAAATGCAGAAGATGAAAAGGCCTAGATAAGTACCAAGTGCAGTTGACTCCCTTAGGGAAATGGGAAGCAGTGCTCTCTTATCCAGAGTGTTCTTTCTAACTATCTATCTGTTTATCCCTCTGTCCTTGATTATCTTATTACTAACTGGATAGAAGGCATCAATAAATACTTTTATGAATCCTTGAAGTCTTACATTGAAGGTAAAAAATAATTTACGTTGTTTTCAGCAGGTGAAGGATCATGTGTTCTTTTAAAAAATCAAACAGAGTAGTACTGGTGCATCAGATTCTAACTTCTCATCCCTGCTTGCTCTGAAACAGATAATTTCCTTCACTGTAGGATGCCTATTCTTTATTCTAGAAAATGTCTTACGTGATTACCAAGGGTAAGAGACTTCCTTCTTCCATAGGACTATCCATAGATAGAGCACAGAGTTCTTATGCATCTGTTTCATCCAATTTCCTCATAAATGTGTAATTAAAAAAAAACTGCATACTAATCAGCAGGGAGGTCCATTTAGTGTTTATACAAGGTTGTGTAATAACTGGTCCCCCCCCCCCACACTTTTCTTTCTTTCTTTCCTGACTAGTAATTATTATAGGGAGTAGGAAGGAAGCTTAGGAGATGGTGTGGCTCCTACAATTCCTCTTTAAGGTTTTTTTTTTTGTCACTTATTTTAATGCCTCAAAATATACCAGTGTGAGTAGTCTTTCAAATGAAGATCCGATCTGCAACCTTTAAGTGTGAAATAAATATTTAATCCAAAGCTAGTCATTTCTAGCAGTGGTGGTTTGCTTCTTGTATGAAATAACCGAGTAGTCATTTCACACAAGAAGCAAACCAGGCACAATCTTCTGCCATGAACTTTTGGGACTCTCATATATATATATATTTTTTCTTTCTGTACTATCCACAAAATATTGGTTCACAGCCTGAAGAAGACTGATTTAGGTTGAAAGATAGCTGCTTGTTCAGTTTTTTTAAGTGGTCCAATAAAGGTATCGCTTGCACTTGCCTTTGTATCATCTCATACAGGTTATTTTCCTCTCTATTTCCTCCAGGAATTTAGAAACCGAGAAGTTCTGTGGTAAGTAGGTTTTAACTATTCCTACCACTATATTATCCAATAGTTGTTTGCACAGTGTGTAAATTCATTTCCTCCTCTGTTGATGACTGCTTTTTCAAGCCTGGATAAAAACATGATATTCTGCTTTGCAATGGTACTGGGATGCTACAATTATGAAACAGATGTAAATAATAATGGAGGCTATTTTTCTGTTTAATTAAAAAGCAGACACAGGTCAGAATGGTGTCCCTGACTTAGACATCACAGCAACCTTTTCCCTCCTACTACAGATTATTTCTCAGAACATCTTGGAGAATACAGGCACGTCCTGTCAGCTTTGGAACAACTCAATACTGCTGTCTTGTCAGCCATGGATAAAACCAAACTGGTAAGTGTATGTTCATTTTCAACATGGATGTGACACAAAGCCAAGAATATCTCTCTTTTGCTCATTGCTCTAAATAGCCTCCATTACTAAAACTTGTCTCCAGCTCTTAATGATGGACTTGTAGTTTCTCTTTGAATAGCCATGATTCACGACACAATGAATGGCTGTGGAAGATTCCACACCCAGCCCATGTCAGCGACTCCTTAAAAAGAGAAAGTGCAGGCTACAATGAATGTGTATATCTTAAAAGTGCCATATTGGCTCTTTGTTAAGAAGAGAAAGTATCATTGATTTCTTTCTTCCCTCTCAGTGTGGGGCAGGGTGCTGCACTTCATGTGAGTCACTGGCCGGCACAATGTCCTTGATGCTCAGGGTCTTATGAATCAGTTTGTCTCACATGCAGGAGGACAGTTTTCTATGCTTGATCGACCAAGCAAATCTGGTTGCCAGTTTGCAGCCTGCATACCATCAGGTCTACGGCTACGATCCTAAGTGTAGTTATTGGACAGCAAGCTTTATTGAACAGAATTGGCCTTACATCCAAGGAAACATGCCTAAGATTGCACTCACAGTGCAGCCACAGGTTCTCTTCTCATTCCTCTCTCACCCTGACCTCCAGTTTCATTTTGCAGCAGGAGTGATGGGAGTAACAACAGAGGAACAGGACAACCAACCTTGAAGGTCCATCATTTCCAGCAGGACTTGGTAGTTTTAAAGGTCCCAGAGCCTCACATTATCAATCTTTAAGTCATGTCTTTAACAGTCTTGGCAATGCTTGGAAAATTCAGAGACTGTAGTTTCTGTATTTTATGTTTTCGCCCAGCATTTTGAAACTCTTGTTCTCTCATATTTTCCACCTAGTGCAGGCAACATTCTCCTCTTCCTTTTCCTCCTTGTCCTCCTCCTTCCTGCTGCCACTGTTGTTCTTTGACCTGCATGCAATGAATACTTAGGCATGGGTGGTCTTGTAGGAAATGACCATCAAAGATTACCTGGAACTGCAAGGAAAAGCACTTCCAGAATCCAGACATTATATTTTAGAAGGAACTCATTGTGTTATTCATTACTTCCCCATAGCCATGCTACTATTATCATTACCATGCATTAGCCATTGCATTGTGCATTATACATGTGTTGCCTTGTCATTACCAACAGGCCAGAAAAAAATCGGGAAGTTGTCTCTCTCTCTCTTCCTGTAATATTCATATCTGATATTGAACCAAAGAAATCTTCCCTTCCACTTCGGGCATGCCAAGAAACTTGAAACAAATATCTCAGAGGCCCTTAGAAATGCCTTAAAATACACTCAAACATGACTGTTGACAGTAAATAAGTGTTATTCGTGACACCTAAGTAATACAAATATTTCTATATCTAAAAAGTAACTTTGCAACTACTAGCTACATTACTTATTCCAAAAGTAACTTATAACAAGTAACTGTTTTACTTGTTAAGTACTATAGTTATGTCAAAGCTGTGGGCATTTTTATAACTCATTGTGCTGCTAGCGGAGCATTCATTGTTGAGCTTAATGTGTAAAACATGCCCTTCATTTTACAGACTCTCCTTCTGCAGTAAAGACAAATGTCATACACTTCTCCTTCCTTACAGAAGATAACAAACACAGCAGACCATGTAAAAAAAATTCACTAGTATATTATGTTTGCAGTAGAATGCCCTCCCTGTTAGATCTGGTGTCTGTGGGAAAGTACATTAGTGAATAATGAATGAGAAATCTATCAAGAAGTAGGTTGCATCTTAAAAGTTGTGCAAAGCAACTTCTGTGTTAAAATGCTTATTCCCTTTGCAAGGAGAGGAGTTTAAACAGACACCACAAACACCCGTGGGAGGGCGGGCAGGAGATAGATAGATAGATAGATAGATAGATAGATAGATAGATAGATAGATAGATAGA